ACCATATCGAATTTCATTTGATTCCATCAAAAAATCTAGTTTTTGAGCGTTTACAAGCAAATGTTGACGGATGGACGGACAGGGGTCCCGACAATATAGAGACAGGTTAATAATAATAGTTAAACCTTACTGAGAATGATTCAGATAAAACAAACAGTAGTAAAAGTAGAATTATCACAGCACCAACAAGAAATAACCAAATACTCAAAATAGATCTGAAAATATAAATCAAAACAGTCATATATCATTACATTGTAGACCTACTACATTCCTTACTTCGGGCAAAGTGGGAACTTAGCTATATGAAAATATTAGAGGGGTTTTTTGCAAAATTTTCATTATCAAAATAGTCCGTCAAGATGGTGAAATGGTCCCTATAAGGATAGGGCACATGAACAGTCTTGGTTGCTGACTTTTGTTGTCGACTAGGGTCTTGTCAGGTGTTTCAACGATTGACTGTGGGTACATGAGGAGACAAAAATCTCCAGTCGGTCGTTTTCCACCATGTCGATAATCACCTGAAGATCATGTAATTGAAAGGAAAATGAATCTGATTGGATGATGATGGTCTGTCTTTCAGATGATAAAAATATCAGAGACAATTATCAAATTTGTTTAATATTATGAATCCTGTCGGTGACACGATAATCTTGTTGTGGAAGCACGGGCACATGGGAGATTTTACTCAAAACTCTAATCAGCGACAAAAATCTCCGACCATGACTGTGACTGCTCGTGTGTCCGCACCTTTAACTATATATTTAGCTTTAACTAATAAGCTATATTACTGTTAATCTATTAATGAATAACAACTAATTAATCAAAACAGGATTCAGGATGAACATTAATCAGATAAGAGGATTATAATATTTGTAATTATCCATGTTCAATAATTAGCTATATAAATTAATATTAAAGGGATTGTAAAGAGGTTTTCTATACTTTTATGTGTATCAGGGACACTGATATCATCAATTTACATCATTCTAATTTTCAATCAGACGTCTGTGGTTCTTGTTAAAGAGATTGTGAAGAGGTTTTCTAAATTTTTTATGTGTATCAGGGACACTGATATCATCAATTTACATCATTCTAATTTTCAATCAGACGTCTGTGGTTCTTGTTAAAGAGATTGTAAAGAAGTTTTCTAAATTGTTTATGTGTATCAGGGACACTGATATCATCAATTTACATCATTCTAATTTTCAATCAGACGTCTGTGGTTCTTGTTAAAGAGATTGTAAAGAGGTTTTCTATACTTTTATGTGTATCAGGGACACTGATAGCATCAATTTACACCATTACAATTTTCAATCAGACGTCTGTGGTTCTTGTTAAAGAGATTGTAAAAAGGTTTTCTATATTTTTTATGTGTATCAGGGACACTGATAGCATCAATTTACATCATTCTAATTTTCAATCAGACGTCTGTGGTTCTTGTTAAAGAGATTGTAAAGAGGTTTTCTATACTTTTATGTGTATCAGGGACACTGATAGCATCAATTTACACCATTACAATTTTCAATCAGACGTCTGTGGTTCTTG